GAAGGGTGTTAATTTGGCATTTCAGATAAATCTGTCAAGTTATACAGTTTAATCTGTCTCATTTTTTAATATGCTATATCAAACTTAAAAACATTTGCTGCATGTCCAGCCACTTTTCTCTGTCTGCGATAAACAGTAACAAGTTTGAGGTGGATGCGTTTATTAGTTTGATAACAAATGAACTAAAAACAAAACTATATTGAGTCAATATGGAAAAACACGGGATGTAACAGCTACTTGAATGACCTTGAGCAAAAAAATAAACAAAAAAAATACTTGTTTGAAGGGCAGCGAGAAGAGTGCTGGTTTTTCGGTCCATTTAAAAACTGCATGTGTGTTTAAATATGGGTCAAACTTTCATAGTGATAAAGAAAAAAACATAAGAAAACACGTGGGTAAACCAAGACCACTCCTGTGTGAAATTACACGGGGGACAAGAAAGTTGTAGCTACGTGTCAGTTTCCAGCGGTGGTCGGTTCTGAGCAGCTCTCTGGAGGAAAATGCCCCTTAAAAACCAAACATTACCAGCAACAAATAATATTTCGGAAATGTGCATAAAAAGCAAACACTCTGAGTCGCTTGTTAAACGACATTTAAMTCAAAAGCTCTAGAGACGAAAACAAATTGGCAACCTTAAAAGCCACGCTTCTCGAGTTAGCTTTTTCCCCTGCTTTACTAAATTTACATTTTGAAAAAAAAAAWAATAATAATAACCGACCTCATATCATATCACGGTGCTGTGCATCATGACACCTGAGTCGTACAGCAAACTTTGCCCATTTACTGTAGCAGGCGCTCGAAAGTAAACGCTAACAAGTTAGCACTTAGCTAGCATTTAGCCGAGAAACTCGCCATCTGTTTGATTACAAATCACAACTTTCTCACTTCAATTGTATCCCATTCAGCTCGGACATTACCAAACATAACCCGACTGGGTCAGTCAATGTTTATCAACTTTACATGCGTCAGTTAGCTTGTGTTTGTCAATAAAGTAGTTCGCTAAAAATCAGGAATAATTTAAAGGAGCTAGCATGCTAAAGTTAGCCGGCACGTTGCTGCAGCCAATTAAGCCTGAAATGTGATTTGACAGTTTGCAATACTATCATGACAGCACTGGAAGTGAACAAATATTTGTTYTCGTAATAATAACCAAGTTGTACTACAAGGTAATGCACCAAACCGGTTGTTATTATAGTCGACATTAGCCTTAAGCTAACTAGTCTCCCTCAGTGAGAGAGCTCTGATATTCACATGTTAGGGATTCATACCATTTTCACAATTCCTCTTTGCAAAGCAGCAGCCGGAACTGGGGCTGTTTGAGCTGGAGCCGAAACAGATGCCATGTCCACCGATTTGAGATTTAAAGGGTTTGACCAGGTATGGGAGCTGGGACTCTCTGGAATGACTGTTCTAATGAAAGCCAGGAGAAAAAAGGCTGAACACCGACCAACACACACGTTATACCGGAAACACACTTTGTCTTGCATACACACACACACACACACAGAAATCTTTCCGGGTCTAGAAGCGATATGAATGGAAGTGGACGGAGAGCGTTCACGACCGCGTAGGCAAATTGAAATAAAGCCTTTCCGGAGCAGCCAGCTACGACACGTCAGCGTAGTGATACCCCTAGATAATGGTGCGTTCACGTTCACTCGGAGAAAACCAACTTAAATAAAAGCTACATCTACAGGCAAAAGAAAATGCATACATTTAGCTTGACGGAGTACGGAAAATATGTTGTTAAAACATGAAAGTAACATTTTTGATCAAATGATACAAAAAACTATTATTTTAAGCAGAAATTTGAAGGATGGAGGAGTTGGCTGTGTGAGGTCAACTTCAAAGCTGATTGCAAGAAGTGTCCAGAAATGTCACTTAGGGGCGTCACTGAAAGGGCATCCACTAAGCTAGACAGGCATCAGTGTTAGCAAAATATTTCATGAACCACTTGAATGATTTCAATTAAACTGTCGTAAAGTAGTCATTGAATGTWGTCATCATTTGTAAATGATTATGTTTTGATGGGAGGGATGGGACACAGTATGAAATGTAAATGTTTATAGAAAAAGTAGTAGATGCAACACAGGCCAAATGTTTGAGAGATTTTTTTTAAATATCTTTTGACAGGCATTCGCCTTCTGCAGCCAGAAAGTTGTAAAAAAAAAAAAAAAAAAAAGCTTCATCAGAGCAAAATAACTTGTTTAGTTAATTTCAAACTTATCTCTGAATTTTGCATTGAAACAAAAAAAGGGGGGGGCAAACAAAAGTTTCTATCAAATCCACAATCATTCAGTTTGAAAAGTCTCTTCAAATATATCCTTTTCTCACATTATGTTCTCCTGCTTTGTGGTTRTAATTCTTAGGGTGACAGCATTAAAAACTGGTGGATTTTAACTGCTGTAAACAAGCCAAAGCCTCAAACCATGCTGGCAAAATGAGTCACAATGAAAAATTTGTTCAATATTAAGTGATTATTATTTTCAAAATCTCCATCTGAAGTGCTTCAAACAGCAAAAGTTTAATCCATGATTTGCTGAAGTTTGCCATTTTAAGGTAATTTTAAAAAGTAGTTTTGTTTGTGAGAGTACGAGTTTGAAAACTCAATTTTTATTGGTCTAAATAATGTCATTAGGTGTTTTAAAAAGGGGAAGTTTTAAAGCACGTTTTTTTTCTTCATTACTTATTTTTTATTATTATTTCTAATCATCCCTCTTTGGGTTTCTTGTATAGTTTGCAAATGCTGCACAGGAAATTAGTTAGCTGTGTTTTCTGAGTGTTGCACGTGGAAAATGGCTGTCAACACAAACATTTCAGCTTCTATTATCAATTAAGGATAAAGCTGATTTTGACRCTTAATCGGGATGCAGGAAGTGGATAATGTAACAAAAATTGAGATAATTGGTAAWAAAATAAAATAAAATAAAATGCACAAAAAGATGACATCAAATTAGTATTACAGTGAATAAAATTACTCTAAATATTATTAAAATTGTTGTATTCTCTTGAAAGCAAAGCTAGCAAACTCATTATGCTAAATAATATGTTAGAAAATTTGCATGTTTTTGAGCTTTACATTCACATAAAACGTTTCACCTAATTGTATTTTTTTGTAACAATAAAACAAGTTGAAAGCTTCAATAACCTAAATATTAATGTACATAGTAAAAGTAATTAGCGTTTGCAGAGTTGGTAAATTGGAATCACACGTTTAGAAATACTAAAGCCCATGTTGAACCTGTTGGCAAAACTGACTTTTTTTGGCTAAACTTTTATTTTAGCAGAATATTTACTGGGTTAAAACATGGAACAAAATCATTTTTCGAATTGGTGGAATGCAGGAGAATCCATGAAGTAAAGCAGTGACATTCTGTGACTTTGTTTTCCTCAAAACGCGGAGAAACCCGAGCAGGGACGCAGCTCCTCCGTTGCGCACACGGCGCCTTTTGTGCGCGTTTGGAGAGGTTTTGGCAACCTTTTTACGCGGCTGATTTAGTCACTTTTCTCCAGGATTTTCAACCCACTCAGCTGTCTATTTTCACCCATTTGCGTGTTTTATGGACAGCACAAAGACTGGGAACGTTCACCTAACTTTTCTTTGTGACCTGTCCAGACCAGCAGAGTCCCGCTCCTTCCCATGGATCAAAACCAAATTAGAATTTACGCGCCGCAAAAAATGTGGTGCTGTTTTACCAACCCGCTATAAATCCATAGCTTAAATCAGCCTTATTTGGCACACTATTCATGCAATAAAGTTGTATAAATTATTGACCACACTACCTTTTAAATTATTAACAAAACCCGCTCTCATTTTTATCCTTTGTCTCTGTTGGCAAGGAGATGCTGGTGTCCAAAAATGTCTGCCCTCCATCCAGTGTACCTGACTGTACACAGAGTATTATTGTGCTCCGAGTCGTGGTTAATGTATAATGTGGGCCATATGGCATTTTCACATCTGAGTCTTTATTTTGGTGCCACTTCCATGTGTGTGGACCCAACTAATGAGATCCAATTAGTCATTAAACGGGCCCAAAAGACGAGCGTTGTGTGGCTTTTTTTTTACCCCCACATGAGCTAATATTTGCTCGTCAAATATTTTCCCCCCTGAAACCGTTTATAGCGCATTTTTTATCTGCTATCTGCCCAAGGAACATCTGTGAGGACGTTCGCCTCCCTCTTTGGCGGATAGGTCGCCCCCTTCCATTGGCCCCCTGTCCGCTCTTTGCGCCCACACGCGCCTCGCTTATTTGCTCGCGTTTTGAAAAGAAACTGTAATAAAGATAGACAGGGTGAAGGATTTATGGTGGATCAAAAGCACTTTACCATATGGCAGTCGTCGATGGCGCAGATTTCCAAATGTTTGCTTTCTGGAGATCCTTGTTTCTAATCTGAGCCGCACTTCACCTGGGATAAAGGGATGCTCGAGTCACGTGACCACATCTCTATCCTAGAGCTGGGACAATAGAGGTCAAGTTTTTTTATCTTTCTTGTCTTATTCTTTTAGATTCCTCCGAATTGTGTTCATAATTGCAGGGATAAAAAAAGAAAGCTGGAGAGCTGTAAAGTGGCGCACTTTGGACTGACGCACACTGCGTAAAAACCTATAACAACCCATCTTTACCTGTAAATATTGTTTATTTTACACCATATCATCAATGTATTATTGTTTCTCAAAGCTAACCGAAGTATTCTGTTTAAATCTTTAAGGAAATTCGACTAAATTTAATTTGGATTTGTTCACAGTCCCCTCCAAATTCTTGGACCATGATTCTCACGTTTCTTAAATAAATAAATAGAAGTGATTGTGCTAAAAAATCGACAAAGCAAGGCTATAAAACAAAGAGAAAATTTAAGTAGGGGCAGTTATTTGTGGATCACATGTCCTCCAAGGTTATTGACACATCAGGGAGTAGAGCAACACGTCACGTTTGGGTGCCAGGCCCCATAAATGTCTGCTGAAGCCTCTGTGTCCGCTCATTGCGCAGCAGAGCAAAACAACTGCGCTGTTTTTTTTTTTTCCCTCACTGGGAAAATTACTTTAACTTTCCCAGTCTGAGCTGGAACTAAATAAGATGCGCGGAATCAATGATCTGCAAACTAGAGGTCAGTTTAAAAAAAAATACGCAATTTGCGATTTGATCGATTTAAGGCGCAGTTTGGAAGATTTCTGCTGTTTCGTGAAAAGGTGCAGGGAGTGTGAACCAGCTCGGAGGGATGTTCCTCAACGGAAGACCCCTCCCCGAGTGCAAGAGACGGAGGATGATCCAGCTGGCCTCGGAGGGAGTCCGCCCGAGTCAGATCTCCAGGATTCTGCGGGTAGCTGTGCGCACCGGCCAAAAATGGCACAACTTTTACGCGCTTTTGTGGGAGAGAAGCTGCGCTGAAACGACATCGATGGAAATAAAAAAACATAAGCTTAGAATCAATTTAAAGACTTTAATGTCATATTTTCACGCTAAAATATTTTTATGTTAAGAAATTACTTGATATTTTTATGGTTGACGTTTGGTCCAAACTTTGATGCGCAGTGCCATGAAATGTCGCGAGATGTCACGTTTAAAGTGGCGTCAATGTCTAAAATTCAAGCTCGCTCTATAAAACGGACTAAGTTAACCGTTTTTGCGTTGGTTAAGGTCGATTAGCTGTGGCGGCCATTTTGAACTGGACTGACTCCAGTTGGTAATCAGTTGCAGATGCGCCATCCAGTTAGAACTTTCTGAGAGTTCCATTAACATTTGTCAGGTGGTTGGTGAGATTTTTTTTGTTAAAGTTGACTACAAAGAGTTAAAAGCAAAGTTTCACGCAAAGAYGTTGTGCAATCTAGTTGCTTCCTGAATATGTGTTTAGGGTCAGTCTCAGCTTTTACCACACCAAATTTTAGGCCCGTAGCTGTAAAATTGGCTGAGTTAGAGCCAGTTTTGTGTTGTTGGTGGTCAGATGGCTGTGGCAGTCATTTTAAATCTAAATAACTCCACAGTGGAATCAATCATAGTTATTCATCAAATGATTAATTTCTGCAAGTTTCATCAAAATTGCCCCAGCAATTTGTGAGATATTTTGCTAACAGACACATGTAAAAACAATGAGGTGAGGTTGACGCCTGACTGCATGCATCTGCTGCAGGTGTCCAACGGCTGCGTCAGCAAGATCCTGAACCGGTACCGGAGCACGGGACTCGTGGAGCCCAAGACCATCGGAGGGAGCCGACCCCGGCTCCTCACCCCCGGGGTCATCTCCACCATCATCCAGTGCAAAAGAGAAAACCCAAACATATTTGCCTGGGAAATTCGCCAACGCCTTGCTCTGGCACGGATACGTAAAGTCCCCAGCGTGAGTGAGATTAAAATATCTGTTTATGGTTTTAAAATGGGCCACTTTGCCAGMAGTTAATGCATTTTCTTTTTCTTTTTTCAACACTTTGTTCTGCAAGGTTTCATCCATAAACAGAATTTTAAGAAAGATCCACTCAGAACATGGACATCTGTGCACGGAGAGGAACTCTCACATCAGGCCTGAGCTCTGTGAGTCCCCAGATAGATTATTGATGMGAAGCAATCTATTTGATCGCTTTCCTTATAATTCTGCAGATAAACATGCAGTTTTTGTTTGACCTTACAGATTTTGAATCTCTGGAACAACAAAAACTTCCTGATGAGCAGAAATCTAAAGGTGCTCAACTCAAAAACCGCACCACCTTTACCCCTGAGCAAAGCAGAGCCTTAGAGGAAGGTAACCAAAAACCTGCACCTTTCCATGCCACTCCAAGTGTTTACACTCACATTTATGTCCCCAAAACCAGAATTCTCCCAAACTAAATACGCTGATCTGTTCACGAGAGAGAAACTGTCGTCTGAAACCAAACTTCCTGAAGACACCATCAAGGTAAACTCATCATTCATTATGTTTTTTTTCCTAAAGCACCAATAAAGTATCTGTTCATCCTTTTCTTCCCGAGATGTCTTGCTCCCCTTTTTTATAGGTCTGGTTTTCAAACAGGAGAGCTAAATGGAGACGAGAACACAAGCAGCCACCGTGTGAGCAGGTTAAAGGTGCTGAGATCTGTGGGGAAATCGAACAAATTACAAATAAGTTCTTCTCTGTCAACAGCTTTTATTCACAACGAAGCAAACATGTCGAAGTGTTTAATCTTAGCACTCTTGCTCCATTGTTAATAAAATAAGGATTCATGGCATTTGCTAATTGTTTTTAGTTACATCCAATGAAAATCTTTTAAATGTTATTTTAAAACATCACGTCTCTGTTACAGGTTCAACATTTCAAGAACGAAGCAGTTTTGTTCCTCTGAATCCAAACAGCTTCACATCTCATCAGGTACAGAGAGTTTAAAGAGCTTGGACCCAAAACTTTGTGTGTCTTTTGGTAATGATTTGAATTAAACACTGACAAATGTTTGATCACACACAACGCCAATAAACAAGCTAAATTCTGTCTGTTTATAAAAGCTTTTATTGTTAGATATGTGCTGCAGAACACATTTAATAAAGACAAATATTGTTTTGCAGGAAATGGGGATCATAAGAGAGAACAGTGACACCTTTTTGCACCAGGAAGTTGCAAGAAAGTTGCAAAATACCTTTTTCTTTCAAGCAGACACAGGCATGGCATGAGTTTTTAAAATGATTTAAAATGGCACCATTAAGAGTTTGGACTCGCTGTCTGTTAGCAAAATATTTCACATTTCATTGCARCTTTCATGGATAATTAAACGCACCTCTTGTGTCCATCTCACCCTCTCAGTTCCTTGTCATCTGAGTGACACGTTGCCACAAATCCTGGACAGGACTCCCCTGGATCTCCACAGAGACGCATTCCCTGCCCCGCCGCTTCAGCGTTACTCAAACACAAAGACGGCCCTCCCTCCAGCATCTGAGCCCACCAGAGCCCACCGCCCGGTGCCGCCGCAGTGGGCCCTGCAGAGTACACCTTTCATTTGGAGTCCGCTTCAAACAAATGAGAAGTTTCTGTTCACCCAGGATGTGAATCTGCAACTTTGACTGAAAAAAGAACAGTTAAGTGGATAAGAAAAAAAAAAGTACACATTTGCAGTCAAAACCAACTTTAAATGAGTTGACAAATTCTAACCACTAGAGGGAGACAAAAGACCAATGTGACCTCTTCATTCGCTCACTTCATTAAAGTGGGAGTTTTGGAGAAAAGGTATTTTAATTGTAGCAGCAGTTCCATAAATCCAATAAACCCTCATGTAAAACAGACAAAGTTGATACTTAAAGTACTAAATAAATCTGGCAATACAAGGTTGTTATAAACCTTTCTTTTTGCTAGGATGTTTTATGGGATGTGCTCTTTCAGGGATATAAGCTGTTTTATGCCGCGGTGTGATTAAACTAATAAATGGGAGGGTTAGGCATGGCAGGGAGTAGCTTTTAGAGGGTACATGTAGTGCTAAGAGAGAAAATGAGGAGGTTGGACCTCGACCCGTCGGGCCTGTCATGTTTCTGGTCAGTGACTTGGTTTGGCTTCCTGRCTCGTCACCATAAATCAAAGCTTCATGGGTCATTTAGAAAGTCCACAAAATGAAGTGGATGTTATCTCTTTTATAGTGTTCGTTTGAAGCGCACAAGGAAAAGCTGAGGCAACCTTCCCAGAGTTCCTGCCCAGTGGGAGAATCTATAAAAGTGCACCTTCAAAACCCTCTAAACCTGATCTGATATCTGTGTTGCTCCGGATCAGTTTTTATTACTGCAGCAGGCCAGAGGTATTGAGTTCCTTTATGTCCCTTTACTGCAGCGAGGAGGCAGGAAGACCGGGAGGTTCTTCATGAACGGTCACCAGAGGAGCAGGCCGATTCAACACCATGAAGGTGGACAGATCAAATTTATCCCCTCATGACAGAGCTGAGAGGAACATCTGTACTGCTTTGTTTTGCATAGCAAATKATGTTTCCAGTTTATGGCAAAGAAATCCTTGAATGCCTTCCCTTCCATGCTAATTTGAAACAGAAGAGCTCAATCTTTTAGTGCTTAGAATATATGATGAAGACCAGTCTCAGCTACTACCACACCAAACTTCAGGGGATTATCTGTAAAATTGGCTAAGTTATTGCCATTTTTGTGTATTCTGAAAGTCAGTTAGCTGTGGTGGCCATTTTGAATCAGTTTGATTCCAATTATTRATCAGTTGTAGATGCATATTACATGAATACTTTCTGCAAGTTTCATTCAAATCTGTCCAATGATTAATGAAATATTTTGCTAAAAGACACACAATTTTGGATTGTTGAAATACGAAACAGTATAATGTGTATCTATATAAATTGTTGTTCTAGAGGGATTAGATGTTCTTGTCTTTTGTTTTGTTAATAACATAGATTTTTTTGTTATATGAACTTATTCTTTGGGAAAAAGGGGCAGATAAAAGATTTCTTCTCTGCTGCCTTTCATTTCATTTGTGATTTTGAAATACATATTTTTTYCCTCTCATTTTCTTTTTGTATATTTTTATTGTACATTGTATGTAAAATTATTTGTTTTGTTTTAATGAAATGAATAAAGAATTGAAACCAAAACAATTGGTGCTTCACTAAAGCAGCATTGCCTGAAGCATATAAAGTCAAATAATGAGATTTTATGTGACAGAACAACACAAAGTAACATATTTGTAAAAATGTGGTGTACATTTACAGTGGGTAAAATAAGTATCGAACACGTCACCATTTTTCTCAGTAAAATATATTATTAGAGGTGCTAATGACATGAAATTTTCACCAGATGTCGGTAACAACCCAAGTGATCCATACATACAAAGAAATCAAAATATAAATGTCCAGAAATTAAGTTATTTGTAATAATGTGGAATGGCACAGGGAAAAAGTATTGAACACATGAAGAAAGAGAGGTGTAAAAAGGCATGGAAAGCCA